ACCCCCCCCCCCCCCCCCCCCCAATGTTGGGAGGAAAGTCTTAAAACATTAACCAAAATTCTTTTGCATTCCTGGGTTTTAGCTTTTTTTTCTTTTTTTTTTTTTTTCTTTTTTTTTTTCCTTTCTCAAAGGGTATTATACCCCTGTGAAGATCTACAGGGACATACTGATCAGTAATAGTACATTTGTTAGGTTAATCCATGTATTCAGAAGCAGACTCACAATTTTGACCAACTCATACTGGCCAAGGCAGTTTTTGTCTTCCTGTTTTTTATATATTTAGCTTTAGCTGTTCCCTTTATTTCAGGGTCAATTTCAGGTCAAGTAAGCACTTTGTCAGTGTTCATACGTAAAAAGTGCATTAATACCATGCAACACCATGCTATCTCTTTTCCTGAATTAACAGAAGGCACAAAGATTGACTTGCTCATAAAAATGCACTAAATTCAGTTTGGGATTTTGGGTTGATTTTACTCAATTTATTTTGCTGTAAAAGACAAGTTACAGAAAGAGGAATATATTTAACATATCTGGGAAATGTAAAACTACAGCTGCTTGAAATAAGAATGCACAAAAGCAGCTTAGAAGAGGGAAGGAAGCAAAGACTGATGCCACAGGGCATTTAACTCTGAAGTACAGTTCATTTGAGACACCAAGCAGCAAGAAAAAGCAACAGTGATGGCTGCAGGAGCAGCAATTACTATTAGGGTCCTGCAATTCCTTCAGCCCAGGAAACACAAAGGACTAATATTAGTGAACAATGTGAGCTTCAGAATGTTCTTTAAAGGGAGATGAAGCTCGCAACTCTTTATTTGCTAATGGGTAAACAGAGTCAAGGAGTGTCACCCCTGGTCACTGCCAGAAGAGTAGACGTCTGTCTGTCAGGGTCACACTCCTAATAGGGAGGAATGTATTTGTGGATTATTCCAGACCTAGCAAGGCTCAGGTCACAGGCGTTTTGACTAGTTTCATGCAAGTGACTTCAAAGCTGATGTTGAGAATGATTTACCACTAAGGCTGCACTAAAACTTTTGTAAATTGGCAGTTTGGGCAGGTTCAGATCAATGGTTTCCGTTTCCTATTTTTACACCTTAAGGTTGGCTGGTGTCCTGGTTTCAGCTGGGATAGAGTTAATTTTCTTTAAAGAAGCTAGCATAGTGCTGTGTTTTGGATTTAGTACTACAAGAATGTTGATAACACACTGATGCTTTTTGTTGTTGCCAAGTAGTGCTGAGACTACTCAAGGACTTTTTGAGCTTCTCCTGCTGGGCCAGGTGCATAACAAGCTGGGAGTACAGCACAGCTAGGACAGCTGACCCAAACTGACCAAAGAGCTATTCCATACCATATAACATCATGCTCGGGGGGGTTAGTTGGTTGGTTTCAGGGAGAGTGATCACTGCTCAGGGACTGATCGCGGCTTGGGACGGGCTGGGCATCGGTTGGCAGGTGGTGAGCAATTGCATTCTGCATCATTCATTTTGTGTATTCTGTATATTCTCTTACCATTCTCATTATTATTATTATCTTCTCTTATTAAACTGTCTCTATCTCAGCCCACGGCTCTAACCATTTTTTTTCTTCCAGAGTCTCTCCCCCATCCCACTGAGGGAGGGGGGAGTGAGTGAGCAGCTGCATGGGGCTTAGCTGCCAGCCGGGTTAAACCACGACAGCTGGGAAGAAGCCCACATGGTGCTGACAGACAAATTCCTGGTGGGCCAGACTCTTGTACAGGTGACAAGGAAAGGGAAGCTATACTGAAGTGTTTCTTGTCCATGCAACCACCGCTGATCTGCAGAAACAGTGGATCTGTGATCCATTTTCTGTGCCCATTTGGGTCTCAGGCAGACAACGCTCAGCTATTTGCAAATGGTAACTTGCAGTCTGACCGAATATCTAATCATCTGACCCTTGAAGGAGGGAAAGGACTCCATCCATGGCTTTTATATTCCCTTTAAAAGGGAGGAGAGAGGGCACACTCAGCAGCATCAGCACAGGGATGAAGGAAGAATTTGCCCACTTTGATCTTTTGGAAAATGTTCTTATTGGTCCTTGACTGTTGAGGTGGGTGAATGAGAGACATGGCATAGGGACCTAAATTAATTGAGGTAAAGGGTTAGAAAAGAAGATTAAATTATAAATATACAAAGAAGGATTCCACGTTTCAAGAGACATAAAAGGGTATGGACACAAGGATATTTCCACAGACTAGGCTAGGCTAGAAAGGCTAGTTTCCTCACACCTTATTGGGCAAAGACACTAACAACCCAAGTCCTACTGAAGATGGTGATCTTTGTCTGCACTGAGAGCAGATTAATCTCACTCCACTCCATAGGCCAAAGTCAGCTTCTGAGAACGCATTCATGTCCTCTCCACAATGTATAGAAGGAAGAAAATGATAGAAAAGACTTGGTAAAAGGCAGATGAAAGGAAAGCATCATCATCTTACTCTTGATAAAAGAGCAGAGGAAAAGGTCAGTAGGAGGGCAGGTAAAATAACTGAGCAAAACCTAATTTTGTAGTGAAATTTAGTATGACATATGATTAGCTGATCTTGCATAAAACACCAGCACGTAACTCCACAACATGGAAACTGGTATCTATGCTTGCAAATCATCCAAAACATCAGTCCTTGATTTTATTTTTAAATGGAAGCAGAAAGAAAACCAGCACACATTCCTCATAATCCCTAGACAGCCTGCTGTCCCAAGCTTAAGCTAACTCACTGTTCTTGCCTATGTCTTTTCCAACCATAGCAGAGGGCCTTTTTATCGCCTGATACTTCCTTGCTGGGTTCTGTGACAATCAGACAGTCCTGCCTCAAGTTGCCAACAGGCTTATTCCCCTTTCTCGGAGAAAAGGGAACTTGGGAGTCCTGAGACATCCATCACTGACAGCCACATAGGCATTAAACAACCTATTGTTCAGACAAATTTTCACTTCATTTAGGACCACGTCTGTCACCCTGAGCAGCCATTTTGTACCCAGATAGCTGTTTCTGTAGACTTTCCCAACAATCAGCAAAGCATTAATTTTTAGGTCTTTTGTTTCTAGCGCTGATAGCGATGTCACTGTTAATCTTCTGCTCCTTGCTATCACTTTATTTAAAATTCCATTACAACCTTTTTAAGGGTTTGAGAAGTTGTTCTCTCCTAAAGGGTTAGAATAGGTAAGGAGAAACTGAAAACGAGGAGCTGCCCAAGAGCAAGGTAAAGAAATGGAAAAATAACAGAGTAAGCCCCAAGAGCAGAAGAACTTGAAGAACCTTAGGTTAGCCCACTGCTTATGTAAAAAGAGTTGAAAAAAAGCTCATACTACGGTTTTCTGACATTTGGGTATTGGAGTTTGAATGCAATGGAAAAAGAGCAATGGCCCTGGAAAGTAACTTCTAGTTAGGGAAAAAAAGCATGGGTTCTGACCAGAGCACAACATACAGCAGGAACATGCCACAGTATGCCTGGTGCTTCATCCCTTTGATATACAAATGCACAGTCTGAGCAATGAATGCATTTAGTTAACTGGAACTTCCAGAAAGAAGCAGTAATCCCTATTTACTGTCTCAGGAAAGAAGAGACATATACCACTCGCAGTACTGAGTTGTTCACATCAGAGGAGAAATCTCGCATCTATTCTTGAGAAGGTACAAAAAAATGCAAGACAGTCTGTGACAGAAGAGATGGATGGATCCAGTCTGCTCAGAAGAAAATACTAAGTCAACAGGTTTCTGCCAAACATAAGATAACAGACACATGAATGGGAATCCAAACCCTTTGGCTTGTAATGGACAGTTCACACCACTAATGAGGTTTTCATGAGAGCAAAGATGGGGTTTCAGCAAAAAGAGGTTCTGTTTAGCCTTAGATAAAAACTAAATGCCTGAAGCCAGTCATCAACCACAGTTCACTTCAGCTCTTGCTTTCTTTCACCTGCCAGAACACATTAGAAAATCAGTACCAGTCACGTATAGAAAGGCAGTAGGACTGTTATGCATCATGTGTAGATCTACTTAAAAACAAACTGCCTGCCTGCGGCAGCAATGTATTTTCATAGCCTTAAATCAAGTCTTAAATATAAATGGATAAAACAAATGCAATCTGAATTAGGAAAAAGCTGCTTTTTTAATGCTCCTGATACAAAAAACAAAACAAAAGCTGATTAAGAATGTATCAGTTGTACAATCTTATAAACCCAGGGAAAAAGGCCAAGCAGTAACTCAGTAATTTAATAGATCATGTAGAATGAATCTCAACTTATTTACAGAAAACCTGCCTTGGCAAGTTCTCTGGGAAGAAAAATGCATTTCTTTATGAGATCCAAGTAAACCATAATTATTAGCCAGAAAAGCAAAATGCAAACTTAAAGTCAACTTAGTCTAACCACCATCTTCCCCTGACATGTATGTAAGTAAAACTCTTGAAACTTCCTGATAGCATGGGATGATCATGGCCCTTTGGAAGGATCCATGTGCACATATCTTTGGGTTTCCCATGGGAAGCTACACCTTCCTGAGCAGGGCTTCAGATGGAGCCAGGTGCCACATGACCTAACCCTGCAAAAGGACAACCTCAGAAACAGAAGCTCTTTTGAGTTTAGCATCTGTTAAATGACTGGAAGGTACCTAATGCTTCAAAACAAATACCCTTCACACCCTTTTGTCAGATATATATTTTCTCCCCTTTTATTTTGCCCTCACAGCCACATCTGAAAACAACCCGAGGAAAAGTCTCTAAAGCAAAACTGCGGCCAGTTCAGGCTCTGAAAGGCAGAAAAAAACTGGTAATGAGATGCCACCAGTTCTCCTTTTATTGGCCCCTTCATTTCACACATTCCTTTCAATTTCTTTTCCTTTGTTGGTACCTTGTTGTCTGCTGTTTTGAGATGGTGTAAAACTGGAACTGGAACTGGAGCTGGAACTGGCAGGACTGGGCTGTTCAGACTTAAAAGGAAAAAAAAGAAAATAAATAACATTGTAAGAAACATTTTTGCCTAGAACTCTTACTGTTAGTTACTGCCTAAGTCATGCTGTCAAGAAAAAAGAACTACAGAACAGAATAACACTCAAAGATCTTTATTTCAGGTGTCAGTGAAGCAAACACTGTGGAAATTTCTAGTTCTTAACAAAGCCAATATCCTAACACAAGTTTCCAATGCCTTGTTTCAAAGGCTATACAACGTAAGAGCCTGAACAACAGACCCGAGGCTCCTGTGTCCTTGTCATACTGTAGTTGCAACACTTCTTAAATTACTAATGTTGTAGAAGAATTGAAAAACAGAGGAAGACCGGAGCAGACCACACTAAATGCCAGAAAACCTCAGACAGACAGTTTTCTTTCTTTCTTCCTTAGAAAAGAAGTCTTAAGATGAGGATTCAAAGTAAACTTTTCTGCTGTTATTGGATTTCTCCTCATCCCAACACTTTCCATATGTATTAAGACCCCACAGATTGTAATAGTGATTGTACCAGAAATATTGCCTTGTTACACAGGGAAGTTATCTGGAACACACAGATTACAAAGAAGAACTAGATTTGTAAAACAGAGTTGTTAAAAACCATTTACATTATATAACAAACAGTTCTACACAGTTTTTCCACTATTGTTTAAAATGTATAAATTTCTCTCTAAAATTCTATAAAATTACTGAAAGAGGCCTATGTCCTGGTTTCGGCTGGGATAGAGTTAATTTTCTTCATAGAAGCTAGCATAGTGCTGTGTTTTAGATTTAGTACTAGAAGAATGTTGATAACACACTGATGTTTTTAGTTGTTGCCAAGTAGTGCTCAGACTACTCAAGGACTTTTTGAGCTTTTCCTGCTGGGCCAGGTGTTAGTGGGTTGTGCGGTCGCGGGCAGAGTGATCAGAGCTCGGGCTGTGTGATCGCGGCTCGGGACGGGCTGGGCATTGGTCAGCTGGTGGTGAGCAATTGTGTTGTGCAACATTCATTTTGTATATTCTGTATGTTCTCTTGCCACTCTCATTATTACTATTATTATTATTTTCTCTTATTAAACTGCCTTTATCTCAGCCCTCGGCTCTAACCTTTTTTTTTCTTCCTGATTCTCTCCCCCATCCCACTGAGGGAGGAGGGATTGAGCAAGTCGCTGTGTGGTGCTTAGTTGCCAGCCATGTTAAACGATGACAGCCTATTACTTCATCTAAAAATTCTGTGTAATTTTTCTCACAGTGGTTATGACTTGTGAGGGTTGTACTGAGAAGTCTTCCTTCCTGCTGCCATGTTGCATGTTGCCACATACTTTTTTGCTTGCTGTTTCTTAGGTTCAGTGGCCTCAGGTGCATGGGTGTTGGTACGTACTTGCACACTCATCTGTGTACATGAGACAAAGAACAAATCTGGGATGTGGGCACAGAATATGTTAATGGAAAACATAAAACAAGAAATAAGTGTCCACACAGAATGAATGGTGAAAATCAGGTTAGAAATTAACAGTCTAAAAAATCTACTATTGAAAAGAAAACCTGCTTGCACTTTAGATTTTGTACTACTGCATTATCATTACATGCTATCCAGGCTAAGGAAAGTTTCGGACTTTCCTTCCCTGTGCAATATCCCTTGTGATTAAATGAAAACTAAATTGCTCTCAAAAATAACGGCAGTAATATCCAGTCAGTGTAAAACTCTGTTTTCACACAAGCAGGCTACCTAAGCTTAACAGTTGCTTTTGCTCCCTAAATCAATCTATTGTTGCCATTCATAATGAGCAGGCAGATTTACGGCCTTTTAACTGCCTTTTCTCACAATAAGAGATGCCTATTTGGACAACAGAATGCTTGAGAAAAACACCATCAACATCTGCTCTCCTCAAATCAACACCAGCTCCAGTTCTCACAGACACACAGCCCAAATACAAACTCTGGACCTGACTGTATGGGTATATCCAGCTTCCATACAGGTGAATCAACCCTGTGCAAGAGAACCCAACCCAACCAACAACACAGCACATTTCTGAGTACCAAGAGAGATTCTTACATGGTCCACAGCATCAGACCTTTTTGGAAGATCATGCAGCATCACTTGACACTGATCCAAAAATCAAGTAATTCTGAAAAAACTTTTTTTTTTTTTTTTACTGCCTGAACTTCTGCAAAGCCACACAACAGTTTTAGCTGTAAAATAATTACAACATGAAACAGACTGCACTGATGAAGAAGTCAATGAAAACTTTAAAGACATCACCGTTCTGGAAACTAATTTCAGTCTTTCAGCTTCAGGTTACTCTTAAATACCTGGTTTATCTGTCACTTGCTGCTTTTTTCAGCAAAATTACTAGCTGACAACTGGTTTCTGCAAATTTCCATTAACTGTATTTTTCCTTTATTCATTTCAACATGAACTTTTAACTTACGTAAAATCCATTCCTTTAAAAAAGTTACAAACACTAAAAGACCATCATATTCAGTTTAAAATACTTGAAGTGCTAAAACTGCAGAAGCCCCCCCCCACACACACATGTGCAGATACTTCTCACCATTAAAACTTCTTTGTGAACCAGTTTACTAGAAACGAAAAAAGGGAAAAGGCCTGGTCTTGTTCACATTATAAGGCATACAAACACCAGTGGAATTCCTCCGTGTCAAAAATTTCTCCCAGCATTAACTAATTGACACACAATCACAAGAAGGAATGGATATGAATACACAGAAAGTTGCTATAATTCCTGATAAAAATTCTGCTCTGCTTTAGCAAGATCACTTTGAGAAGCCAAACCACAGAAAGTCCCAGTGAAACACAAATATCATCCATACTCTTTTAAAAAGGGTTCTTAATGCCTCTTGAAACAATTTACATTATTTCCTCAAATAGCCCTGTCTGAAAATTTATTCCAAGAAATACAGATTAGCATACATGTTAAAATTGTTAAGTGTCGGAAATTAAACCTCGCTTATTTGACTTTGCGAAATCTGGGGTGAGAGCGCAGGCAGAGGAAACAGCTGCTTTTAAAATAAGAATGAGTGTTTCAACAGAAAAGACTTGCCTTTTTAGAAGGAACTAAAAATATGCCTTCCATATATGAACATGGATTAGTGCCGACAACACTGTTGCTTCTAGTTACCAGAGGCTATCTTTTGTCACTTAAGCAATGCTTTTTGACAGTTTTACAGGCTGTTATCCCAAGGACGTAGGTATTTATGGCTTTATTCACTTGGGCTTTCTGCTCTTATCCAGTGGTTACTAATCACCAAACACATTTTTTTTTTTTTTTAAATGGGTCTGAAATTAGCTAAAGGGTGTCCTTCAACAATAAAAGCTTTTTGACAGTACCAGCAAAGAGCTTCTCTCATATGTCCTTTTCCTGTTTTACTAGTTTTCCCTTCCTGCAGACAAGCTAATGAGAGTTTGGGCCCAAACTGTTCATTAGTGCAATGACCCGATATGATTTATTGCATTCTTAGACAGTCTATTTCATTTTAGTGCTCTCACACCAATGCACAGGAGACACTAGCTTCTTTATTAGGCCTGATTGAGGGATTCTGTGCTTTGAAACCATTCGGGAAGAAAAGGGACTTTTCTTTGGCTCAAGTTTTCCCTGAAAAGGTACCTTTTTCAGTAGCTCTAAATCACTCAGTTGCTGTCATTTCCAAACTTTTGTCTGTTTTTACCAGTAGTACAACTTACTCTTGAGCTGCAAACAATTCTCAGGCAAGCTCACCTGTTTATGACACGGGATATAGTAGAGCTGTTTCCATAATATTTCATGGTTGCCCAGATCTATATAACTTCTTCTAAAAATAAGCCCCATCATTTCAAGCTCCTTATTTATATTAAAAAACAGAAAACATCTGTATGTGGGTGACAATGGCTTTTCTTGCCTTCCCCTGAACTGTCTCTGAAGAAAACTTACATATTGTTTCCTGAAACAAAATTTAAATGGTGTAGTAATACCCCATGTCATATCAGCCAGTCTACATATTTCCTATTTTTATGCACAATAGTCTAAAAGACTTATGTTTCCCTGTGCCATACATACTGAAAAGTCTATCTACTTAAAACTGCTTGTAGCTGTGTATTACTTCTGCTTCCACTTTGTCCCAGGCTAGCTTTTGGGGGAGGAGAAACATGCTCCCCCAGGACAAGCCTTTTTCTCTAACAGGACTCCTGTACTTACAACTTCTACTGCCTCTTAAGCTCCCTGTCACTGATCACCACCTCAGCTTCTAGTAGAGTAATCCAACCCACCTGTAGAATGGGTTGCACAACCCCGCCTCATCCACCAAGTGTCCACATTTGCCACTGCCAAGGGGAGACACCATTTGGGTGTCCATGATACCATAAGTCTGAACTCAGCTGCCCACACCATGCTGAAGTTCTATACCGCCACATCTCCTGACAAGCTGCTACATTAGCAACTAACCTCCAAGGCAGGGCAAAACTCTTTAACCACTCTCAAAAGTTAGCTTGCAGAGTGCAAGCTCCCAGGGAAGAGGGAAGAACAGGGGTATGGAATGGGAAGTGGAATTCATTTTCTTATAGAAATGGAAATACTTATTCATAACTACAATGTTTAAGGAACTAAAAATTATTTAAAGAAGTAATTTAAGATTAAGGAGATGTAAAATTTAAACAGGAAATGCCAGATTATTGATTTTTCAGAGGAGGGAGAGACAGTCATTTGTCAGAGAATGTGATCTAAGGTGTTGATATAATTAGCTGCCTTAATTATTTGTACTAATTTCAAACAAAAATTCCATAACACTGATGGAGATGAGGTTATTTGTTAATTAAGTTCACTCTGTACCTCTTACCTGAACAAGTCCATGGGGCCTGATTGGATGTACCTGTGAGTGCTGAGGGAGCTGTGAAATGTCATTGCAAGGCCACTCTCAATCTCTGATTGACCACAGTGACTGGAAGAAGTGTCTGAATATTGGAGGAAAGCAAATGTCACTCCTGTCTTCAAGAAGGAGGTACTACAGGCCC